CGGCAAAGGTGGCAGCCGGCAGCTTCCAGAGCTAGTTTTCTAAGGGCTTCAGAAAGCAACGTTAGGCAGGGGCGCCTGGCCTTGGGACACGCGGGTGGGACCAGCAGGCCCTGCTGTTTCGCTGTTTCGCATGCGCCCGGCAAAGGTGGCAGCCGGCAGCTTTTAGAGCTACTTTTCTAAGGGCTTCAGAAAGCAACGTTGGGCAGTGGCGCCTGGCCTTGGGACACGCGGTTGGGACCAGCAGGCCCTGCTGTTGCGCTGTTTCGCATGCGCCCGGCAAAGGTGGCAGCCGGCAGCTTCCAGAGCTAGTTTTCTAAGGGCTTCAGAAAGCAACGTTAGGCACTGGCACCTGGCCTTGGGACACGCGGTTGGGACCAGCAGGCCCTGCTGTTTCGCTGTTTCGCATGCGCCCGGCAAAGGTGGCAGTCGGCAGCTTCCAGAGCTACTTTTCTAAGGGCTTCAGAAAGCAACGTTAGGCAGTGGCGCCTGGCCTTGGGACACGCGGTTGGGACCAGCAGGCCCTGCTGTTTCGGTGTTTCGCATGCGCCCGGCAAAGGTGGCAGCCGGCAGCTTCCAGAGCTACTTTTCTAAGGGCTTCAGAAAGCAACGTTAGGCACTGGCGCCTGGCCTTGGGACACGCGGTTGGGACCAGCAGGCCCTGCTGTTGCGCTGTTTCGCATGCGCCCGGCAAAGGTGGCAGCCGGCAGCTTCCAGAGCTACTTTTCTAAGGGCTTCAGAAAGCAACGTTAGGCAGTGGCGCCTGGCCTTGGGACACGCGGTTGGGACCAGCAGGCCCTGCTGTTTCGCTGTTTCGCATGCGCCCGGCAAAGGTGGCAGCCGGCAGCTTCCAGAGCTACTTTTCTAAGGGCTTCAGAAAGCAACGTTAGGCAGTGGCGCCTGGCCTTGGGACACGCGGTTGGGACCAGCAGGCCCTGCTGTTTCGCTGTTTCGCATGCGCCCGGCAAAGGTGGCAGCCGGCAGCTTCCAGAGCTACTTTTCTAAGGGCTTCAGAAAGCAACGTTAGGCAGTGGCGCCTGGCCTTGGGACACGCGGTTGGGACCAGCAGGCCCTGCTGTTTCGCTGTTTCGCATGCGCCCGGCAAAGGTGGCAGCCGGCAGCTCTCAGAGCTATACTTTTCTAAGGGCTTCAGAAAGCAACGTTAGGCAGTGGCGCCTGGCCTTGGGACACGCGGTTGGGACCAGCAGGCCCTGCTGTTGCGCTGTTTCGCATGCGCCCGGCAAAGGTGGCAGCCGGCAGCTTCTAGAGCTACTTTTCAAAGGGTTTCCGAACGCGTCGTTAGGACGGGCCAGGTTCACGCGGCTTGGCCACCTGCCATTGGCTGGTTTTGCATTCCCGACACACATGCGCATACGCCCACATACACACCCACACACATACACACCCACACACCCACCCACCCACACACACACACACACACCCACACACACACGCCCACATACACACCCACACACACACACACACAGAGACACATACACTATATGCCACACTACTCCCCAGATCTCCCCATAAATGCCTCTCTGCGAGGCCCTCCCTGTTCAGGAGTTTATATATATATATATATGGCCCCTATTCAGGGCTCTGCTCCCTGTGCAGGAGACTAATGATCCCTATCCGGTCCTCGGTCACGATGTCCTCCGCTTCTTCGCGTTCTTTTCCAGGGGTCGGCGGCAGGGGGCGTTAGCCCTTAAATTAACATAAGTCCAGTTGGTTATGTTATAGCTATACTCCAATCATTGGTTCAAGTAAATGATTGGTTCAAGTAGGTTAAAGATTGGACGTTTTGTTAGGTTCAATTGTTACCTAATGATGACCTCCATCCAAGTTGGCTTGATTCAACAGGGATTACTCATCCCATGTCAATATTAGGTATCAGCTTAGGTACGTTGGTTCACATAGGTGGGTCACCCTTGGATGTATCTTGATCTATTTGGATCTATGCCAGGTATATCTATAGTTAATATCCTATAGTAGTATAGGCTTAACAGGTAGAATAAACAAACAAACGATAGTGGTTTTTAAGTATATGTATTATGCATATATATATATAACTCAACAAACAAATAGATACGATCTGATATACCCCAGTTACATTTGCTGATCTTATAGTGTATGTGATAGAACTCTCTATATATCTATATATATATACACATAGTGAGATAGGCTTATAAACCAACAAACAACATTTGGGGGCACAGCTGCAGGACAAAACGTTGCTGCACGATGACCATCATGGGGGAACCACACAGGTTTTTTGGACCCCGTTAGCTACGTTGGTTTATAACGTAATTATGTGGTTAAAACAATGCCATAAACCATCCCCCAGTAATCACCAGAATCACCATTTTTATAGGTGCTATAAATCATTTCCAGTCATGGGTGGTTTATTTATGACATTGTTTTACCACATTTTCATAACAAGCTGGTGTATGATACGCAAATAACATCAAATTTAGATGGGGTTCTAAAGCAACAAACATTTCACTGAACGGGGCCCCATCCTGTAGGGTATATCACTATCTACCATGAACGGGACATATCACCCATTTGTGAACTAGAATTCATTTGGAAACCAGAAAAAAAATCTTTACTAAAGGGATTTAAAGGGTTTGTCCACAAATTGGATTTGGTCTGCTTACACAAAACATTTACCATCTGGTTATTTAACATAGCCATGGAAAATCCCTTATAAATGGAGGTTTTAATGGGAAAATCATCAAATAACCAGAGGGTTTTTTTACAACTCGTAGAAATGGGAAAACATGATGATGATCCGTACGATGTCGGGGTGCCAATCCGTGTCAGTCACAGAACCAGTTTACCAGTTTGGATCGCAACCCTGGAGAGGTCACATTTTTGTGTGTAGTGTCAGTAAGCCAGGAAACCAGGAATAACCATCCGGGTACTGGGAAGGTCCCTGAAACTAGTATATGGATAGTAAGATATAGTAAGTATATAGATATATAGATTGAATATGATTGAATTATGGATCAACATTTCTTTCTGAAAATCACAACTCCTGATAACCGGGATATTTTAAAACAACCCGATTGCAAAACCATGGATTCTAGCCAAGGTCTTTCAACTTGGAGCCAAGGTCGTTCTTCCACGACAACTCGAATTTCTTGTGCAGCGGCAGCTCCTAGCGCTTTTTCAATGGATCATGGGATGGTCTCCCTCCAACTTGGCAAACATGGCTATGGATGGTTGCGGCCAGCCATGTTTGATTCTACCAGGGTAATTCATCATAAAATCCAATAAACATATGACGATATGGTGTTTTTTTCAATGATCCAGTATATTAATCAATATCTGGCTGAACTATAAGCATTCACAGCTCCCTGAATTCATCTTGGGATGTCTTGGGATGTTCCACAAAACCAACTGGCGACATCACCATTATTTTCCCATGGTTTCCCCAAATCCAGTGCCTGCCAGCTCTTTCCCTCCGCTTTGGCGACAAAGTCCACGGCCCAGGACACAACGCCCCTCGGCAGGGTTTGGTTTCTGGGGATATATTTTTTGGAGAATTTCACCAACAAAACACGGTATTTTGCACTATTTTATGGGGATCATTGGCTATAACAAGTTGTTTTTATGGTGTGTCGGTGTGTTTTTTTCTGGGAAACTCATCGATAGGAGGACTTGTCAACTCGCCCCACAACTGGGGGGTCTTCCTGTCTGCAGGTGAGAATCCGTTGAAGCGTGATATAATTATCGGTATGGTTGATGATAGGGATTGGCATAGGGTATATGATATAACCTGAAATCTGTGGATTCATTCTATTCAAGCACATACAAGTACCTGTATCAGTTGTTTAAGCCCTATATAGTGAGTGCGGGTTCTACTATTGAGTAGATTTGCAAATAGATAATAACCAGCCCAACAAACATTGGGGATATCACCCATACAAAAAAAAAAAACATATTTCTGTGGAATGGAACCACACAGATTGTCATTTTGAATGAGAAAAAATCGAAACCAAAGCAATTTATCTAGGACACACCTGGCTCCAGAGAGGGTACAGTACAGTACATCCCTACCAGACTTCAGGCCGGATGTTCAATCTTTAAGCTTCTTGGAAGGTGGTGCTCCCCAGTTAAAGTTGTTATGCTTGTTGGTTGAGTAGCTATAGATATATCCTCCATAAACCCTGGTTAGTGGAGCTATATATATATATATATATATATGGCAACTTTGCAGACTATTGGGCAGTAATCTGGTAGAGCACCACACTTTTGCCAGACTTACTCGTAGCACCCCAAAGGTGGTTCAGATGGTGGTTTTTTTCGTTGAGATCCCCGGTTGAAACAGGCTGAAACCAAAAAAAAATGGCGATTCTTGGATACCCTGAATATGATTCTGGCTGGATATACACACATATATATATATACAGTATATAATATATATATATATACCATAATCCTTCATATGTATACACAGGCATCATTCGCCATCCAAGCTGTAGCCAGAAAGTAGCCCCCCATGGGTGGTGCCTCCAGTGATCAGGTCGCACCAGTTCAGGTAGCGCATCCTGCAGCCATTGCAGCCATGTGGCCTGTCAGTTATTTTACAGCATCATACCGTGACTTTTATGGAATTGTATGGGTACAACATGGTATAACATGCTACAACCATGGAATTTTTGCAGACCCCATAAGTTGGGATATGGGGCCCCTATAACTATAGTTTTATGACTGGAACTGCAAATCCAAGTAGATAACCCCTAGGCTGAATGGGAGAATCTATGATGGTTTCCTGCCTCCATTCATCATGACATAGTCATAATATTCTACTGGGACCTTTGCAATGGTGCAACCTGGCTTCTGACCCAGTAGAATCCTTCCTTTACAATCCCATTTTGTTTTGGTGGATCCTGTATTTTTTAATGGTTCTCACTAAACATATCCACGTCATCAATGTGAAATGTACCATAAATCTCCATCAATCATCTATCTGGGTAAATTATAGTATTTCACTAACCTGAATTAAGGCCATTTGGGGATGATTTCCCTTACTAACCATGATCCCAGTGAGGTCGCAGTGAGGTCGTCATAATTTACCCAGATCTATAAAAAAAACCTCGCTGGATTCCTCGATTCACGTCCTGGATCACTTTCAAGGAATGAGGATCATCCACCTCGACGCTTTCCGGCGTCCCCGGGAAAGATGGAGATCCAGCCCCAAAATCATCGCTTCCTACAAAGTGGTGCCCCATAGTTAGCTAAGTTGGTTAGTAAGTCCAATAACTATGGTTTATGGTAGATATAACTATAGTTAATGGGGTTTATAAACCAACTTATAACTGGGGGGGCACCATCCTGTAGTAGAAATCGCCGAGAAACTAACTTCTGGAAGCGGTTCTCAAAGCTTCCGTTCAAGTAGTTCTTCAGCTTCTTGAGCCTTCGCCAAATGGGGCTTCACAGTAAATTGGAGACTGGGATTTCACTGAGCTTGGCGGTCCAATTTGTTTTTTATAAGAAGAAGTCAGTTTATAAACAATATTCTCGAACGCGGATGGACATGTCTGAAAGCAAACATGATATATATATATACATACATACATACATACATACATACATACATACATACATACATACATACATACATACATACATACATACATACATACATACATACATACATACATAATTATATAGAAATATGTCATAATAAAAACACTAATATTAAAACACTCATTGCAATATATACATAGTTACTAGTTGGTGGTTTCAACCCCTCTGAAAAATATGAAAGTCAAATTGGAGTATTATTCCAAATATATGGAAAAATAAAAGCCATGTTCCAAACCACCAAACAGATTGTATATGGATTATAAACCAATATAACCCCCATTTACTAGTTCGTTATATTATTATCTACCATAAACCATAGAATTCAGCCAGTTATACTCAGTTATACCCTCTGGTAAACTAACCAGTCATGTTTGAAACCACCAACCAGTGATTATTAACCATCATTAACCATCATGGTAAACCACTAAGTAACTATTGGTTGTCCATTAAGTCGTCAAGATCATTTTCTATCGCCGCCAGGTCACCTTCAAAAACACCCGAGATTTCCGTCGAAGCGTCGAAGCTTAGTGAGTTGAGCCGCACCCTCTGGTAATCAAATGGTGGCAATGGGGAAATCCCATGAAATCCCATATAAATGGAGGTTTTATGCTATAATTTACAATCATCAAATGTAGAGTAAATCGGGGATTTACCCTCTAAAAAATGATTCATGTGTTACAAGACATTTACTACCTTTTTTCTTGGGGATTTACCCTCTCATAATCAAACGTAGCAATGGGAAATCCCCTATAAATGGAGGTTTAATGCCATAATCATGTCGACCAGATGAATCCTGAACCCCGTGAAATTTCCCACGAATCCATACCTTCAATCCATGCAGAAAGAAACAAATTCAGAATGTCTCCGAATGAATGTTTCTCCTTTCCTTCTGAATTGCTGCCTATTTTCTTCATCATCTAGGTCATTGCTTCCAATGTATGCATATATATATATGTCTATATCTATATAATGACCCACAAAATCAAACGTTTCAATGAACTAAGAACGACAATTTCAATCCCATATGTTCCATGTATGGGATATATATATATATATCAACAAATACCCAAAGGATGACGCAGTTGTATATACGGTTTTGTCTGAAAACAGGATACCCCATTACATCCACTGGTTATATAATCAAAAAATGACCGTGTGCCTGGGAGAATCTCCCATTTCCAAGCAATCTCAACTATCCTATGATTGTTGGTTACATATATTCCATTGTATCCTCACCATTATCCCACTTTATTACTACCTAAATACATCTAAATACCAATTCAGTCTCCCATTTCCAAACAGTCGGTTGTGTTTTATTATTATTCTCCCATGATTATCTCATGACTATTTCTGTACCCGACACATATACAGTATATACATATATATATATATACGTATACACATAGATACACAGACACACACCATTATGTTCCATAATAATATTCCCAAACAACCCCAAAAAACTCTAACCCATACCTATATATTTTTCACCATTTACCCACCAAATAAACCGAAGGTCTCCTGAAAGTCAAAGGTGGCTGAAGAGTCCCCCACTGCGATCCTGTCATTTTCCCATTGCTATTTTCGCCAAAACCCTGACACCCGGATGGTACCCTAAGTCATAACTGGTATAGCTGGATGTTTATTCCCCCAAATATCGTCATGATATGTACAATGTGGTGCCCCCCAGTTATAAGTTGGTTTATAAACCCCATGAATACTAGTTCGTTATATCTACCATAAACCATAGTGAAATGGGACTTACTAACCAACTTAGCTATTCCGAACTGGGGCACCACTTTGTAATGATAGGTTTCGTCCCATCCCCATCTACCATACACAGAGCATATATCGCATTGCTCACCCAGTGGTTTTTCGCCACGTTTTTCGACAGCTGGGGGCCTCTCCGAGAGATCTGTCGCCGAGACGTCCTCCTTCACAAAGTGCCTGGGCTGAGTGTCATGGGATGTCATGGGACTCATTGGGCGTTGCATTTGATCAAAGACAAAAATTATAGGTTTAAGATGTTTAAGACTAACATAACTATCGAAAATCATCATTTTTAATGGGTAAATCTACTATAAATGGCCATTTTCAATAGCTATGTTAGTTTACTAGAGGGTATAGGTTTAAGATGTTTAAGACGTTTACCCTCCAACAATCTCACATACAAAGTGGTGCCCCAGTTCGTTAGCTAAGTTGGTTAGTAAGTCCAATAACGATGGTTTATGGTAGATATAACGAACTAGTATTCATGGGGTTTATAAACCAACTTATAACTGGGGGGCACCACATTGTAGCAATGGAACATCAGCATTTTTGGATGACTTAAAACCGGTAATTTTTACCTCCGTGACTCTACTTTGGACCTGCCTGGGACTTAGGGACTTATAAGTTATCATGTAAGTGTAGTTATAAGTGGATAAGTTATGTTTAAGTTGCTTTATAAGTGGTTATGTGTCTGCTAAGTGGTTAGGTTAGGTGGCACTTACTATGAACTTAGGGGTACTTATAAGTTGGCTAAGTTATGTTAAGTTAAGTGAGTTGGACTTAGCTGGCACTTAGCTTCGAATTTCGAACCTATGTTTTTTGATGTTCGTTGGGTGGTAGGACGGAAACTGCTACGTTTTGCAGGGATTTTGGTTTGAAGGCATGTCCGTAGAAAAGCAGCTAGATGCAGCTCAGAAGTTCCTACGAGGAATTCGGTCTTTGAGCTCCTACGAGGAGATCAGAGAAAAGCAGGCATTGGGAGTGCAAAAAGCTTTGGAGAAAGTGCCGGCGTACACGGCTGCCCAAGCGGCTGCTGTGTTGGCATTTCTCTCGGAAGCCGGAACGCAGTCGAGAGTTTCAGTGGTGCCGACGCAGTGCCTGGCTTCTATGGGAAGCCAGGCGCAGTCTACGGATGGCGTAGAAGAAGCTGAATAATAGCATCGCAAATCTTGCGAAGCTGTGAAAATTTGTTGTCTGCGGATGTCTGCGGATGTCTGCGGATGTCTGCGGACTAGGGCAAAGTGCTTGGAAATGACGTGCCGCTGTGTCTGCGGATGTCCGCGACGAAGGAAAACGGCTACTTTGCATGCTGTCACATGTCTGCGGATGTCTGCGGAAGGAAAAACTAAAGAATTTCCACTTTTGACAGATGTCCGCGGCCTTGGAGACCAAAACCACCCCGAAGCAAGGAGTAAGAGCGGGAGAGTTGTAATTGTAAGCATTTCTGAATAGTGGGATACCCTTACGATTCGGCAAATATTGCAACCTTTCCTGACGGAGAAATTCATTCTAAAATGGAAACGCCTACGGGGCCCCAAACAAATCCTGCCTGCATCAAAACTGATGCACATAGAACCAACGCGTTTGCTACGTGAAGATCAAGATGGTCTTTGGCTTTTGCGCTGACCATGCAACATCATCATGAAGAAAAAAAGGCTGCCTCCTCACCTGACTAACCCAAAAAAAACCTCCAAATCTACAAAAAAATGGAAACCACCTAAACTTGAAAAAAAAACAATGCAAATCACTTAGCTCACTTATCGGCCACTTAGCGGCCACTTAGCAAGCCTTCAAACCTAAGTAACCTAAGTGCCAGCTAAGTTCCTAAGTTCCCCGGCGGCTCCAAAGTAGGGATTGTCCATTGCCACGTTGACACCGGAAAGTTATCAGCAAAATGGTCGCAAAAAGTGTTTTGTAGCGGCAAGAACTGGAGGCTTGACTAAAGTTGCTTGTTTATACCAACAATACGGAACTAAAAGTACAGTAATTCGGACAGTTTGGCGATTTTCAGATAAAGAAAATTCACGAGTATATACCCTCTGGTAAACGTACAAAAAACGAACTGGAAAGATCCACCCATTTTCTAGCTGGGTAAATCCACTATGTCGATTGGGCCATGGTTTCAATAGCGAACTGTTTGTTTACCAGGCCGGGTAAGCCATGGAGTCTTCCCTTGGAACCAACTCCTGGCCGTTTCCGGAATCTCCGGGCCAGGCTTGCGCTGAAGTTTCCGGAATCCGTCGGATTTCTTACCCTCGTTTCATGCTGGTGATACCGCAGATCAACTATATAACCATTAGATAACCAACTATGTAACCATTGGATAACCACTGCCCGGCCTGGTAAACAAACAGTTTGCTATTGAAGCCATGGCCCAGTCGAAATAGTGGATTTACCCAGCTAGAAAATGGTGATTTTCCATAGTTTTTTGTACGTTTACCAGAGGGTAACCAGCAGTTTCAAATAGTATCCGACTGGCTGGCAGCGCCAAGCAACATGTGCTCGAACGGACCGACCGCTTTGGGGTTTGCCTGGCGAAGCTTCCAGGGGCGAGAAATACGGTGGGCTGCATCGCAGTAAGGTGGATCATCAAAGTTACACTTTTATAATCCACTGGTATCTCTCTATATTTCTAAATATATATATACAATATATATATATTGTATATACGTATATATATATATATATTATTATACAATATTATACAGTATGTACGGTAATTATATGGAATATCCCCATATAGATTTGCCTGTGGATGGCGGTATTTGAACGACAAAAACCTCGTAGATGCGATGACGACGCCTTAAAGAATTCCTCATCGATGATCACCACTTGGTAATCCGCTGGATTGCTGCTTCTTATCTGGTCGCCTCAGGCGTGTTGAACCAACTTGTGCTCATCCACTAAAGGTTAGAGGGTCAAAAGTAATTGGCCTGCAGGTGTGTATATATATATATACGTGTATATATATACCCTATAGGTTTACTATATGTATATGTGTATATATATATATATTAGTACTACTATGTATGTATATATATATACACACTGTAAACTGTAGTAGATCTGTCTATCTAATGATTATATCTAGAGTTCTATTGAGGGTATTTCGCCTCACCTCCCAGTCTGCTGAGGTTCCCAAAGATGTTGAGAAAGGATCTGGATCCTGAACCGGTTACACTAAAGGTGTGTAACCCGGCAAGTATATCACTTACCATGAATCAAGAATAGTTTATGGGTTCCTCATTTTTGTTGATTTAACATGATTTAAATCTCGCAAACAAAACAAACATTCGGAATTGGGGGCATTGCCTATGTTGACACAACCAAACGTTCCCCACTTCAGCAAGAACTTTGTCAAACCTTTCTGAGCACAATTCTTCAAATTCTATGGCTGGAACATGTTCAGAGCTGGGAACATCCCCGGGCACAAACTTTCCCGGTTTCTCCATTTTCAGCCTGGATTTTTTCAGGTGCATCCTGATTAAAAAAAAAGCAGGGGATTTGAACTGAGATGGGACCATGTTGGGGCCCAACATTGGATGGGAGTGTACACCGGTTTTAAAGGGGCAGACGAGCAACGCATCTTCCGAAGTTCCCGAACCTTTGAACAAGAGACACCATTAGGATCAGCGTGTGTTGAACGTGATCAATGCCACTTTTTTGTGTTCAATCCCTGTTTAACATGGCTGGTTGGTGGTATACCTACCCCTCTGAAAAATATGAGTTCGTCAAATGGGATGATGACATTCCCAATATATGGAAAAATAAAACATATTCCAAACCACCAGTCAGACTGGGTCGATTTGAACTTCGAAACCAGCCATGTTCGATTCATCACTTTGTTTTTGCGTAAATTGAAACCAAAGAAACCAGGGCCACAATCTGAGCCTATCAAGATGATTCGGAGAAGAGCAACACATGGGAAACCAACAACCAAGCAGGAAACCGGTACAATTTACCAACGTGAAGCGCTCCATCTTTCCGCTGTTTTGTGGGAGCGTGTTTACCATTGGTCATGTTGCTGTCGTGGAACATTTTGGACACTTAACCTGGCCCAAAGGATAGAAACTCAGTATAGAAAAACAACAACAACAACAACAACAAAGACAGAAAAGTCTAGTGGTACCATGAGCCTGTTCTATCTTTTTGGGCTTCATATCTATTTTTTAGCTCGCTACAATGGGTTTCCCCCCAAACACTGCCAGTGTGTCAATGGGGAAACAGTGCCATCAAATCATGGAAAATGTTGGCCAGCAGGTCCTTCTAAATTTGCCCACTCATTCCCTTGTTTCTGTACATCCTTCATATGCAGAACATCCTAGTCAAACCATACAAACAACAAATATGTGTATATATATATATTATGTATATATATATGTTATACAGTATACACATATCATTCATAAATATTCATAACCTATAAATATCCACTGATATCCCAAACATATCCACTTCCGCTCGCGGAAGTTTGCCACGTCACATTGGGGTCATCGATCTCCTGCTTCTGAGCCGAGGGTGTTCCGCGACACGTACTTGGTTGTTGATGTTAGAATTTTCGGTAACATGTTACAATGTGGTGCCCCATAGTTAGCTAAGTTGGTTAGTAAGTCCAATAACTATGGTTTATGGTAGATATAACTATAGTTAATGGGGCTTATAAACCAACTTATAACTGGGGGGCACCATCCTGTAGGGCCTTGTTAGGATCTTCATGTTTGAACCCTAACATGGACACAAACCAAAAGTCTACTTCGAAGGACAACTTTCCTCACAGCCCCAAACCATGGCCCAAGGTGCATTATAAAGTGCACCAGGGTTGAGGGTCTGTTAGTCAGCAGCGACGATGATTATAAGGGCTAATCTTGAACATCCGTCACATAATCTACTGTATATGATTTATTTGTCACCATGATTTATGTGAGGCTTTATTATATAGTTACCCCACAAGAGTTTATGAGTTACCCCAGGGTTTTTTTGGTAATGGTTACTTTTTTTCGGGGTTGAGTCACCATGACTGTCAAAAATCATGGCCAGCTCCTCGGCGAAGCACATGTGTTTGCCGTCGATGCCAATGAGCTGTGCGTAGATTGGCATGCGACTCTTGCAGGTGTTGCACCTGAAAGGCACCCGCTGACGTGGGAGAGGTGACCAAGTGAGCACTGTGAAATCAATCCCTCTATCATTCCATGAAATACTGGTTGGTTTATAGGGATTCCCCTATTGGATTTCTATAATCCCCAATATATTGGGTAGTATAATCCCCTGTAATTATAAACCAACAGCTGCTCAAGTGGACACGGATTTGATGAACTTTGCATCGGGTTACAATTGGCTGTGATAAACCTGTGATCAATAACGATGTGACTAAAATCGATTGATGATTTCTAGAAGCGTTACTGGGATCCGGGAAGCGCGTGAAGAAAACCACAGTCCCTTAGAGTTGCCATCTCTATATTAGATGTACATATGTGTGTATATATATAATGTGATCAACAACCATTAACAAAAACCATCCCCTTAAATTCAGTAATTATTTTTGTAGGTGGTATACAAACCAGTCCACTTAAATGGCAGTTGTTTATTAAGTTGGCCTTACGTTGCATTACCATCAGCATCACCATGCTAGTACCAGCATGACAAGCATGACAAGCACCATACGACAATTGTCCGCACCATTACGGGAAAATTTACCATAGAATACCTAATATACAAAGTAATGTCATTACTACATAATAATGGTAATATATTGTATAATTACCATATACTCTAATAATTACCATATATCATTACCTCCCTTTTTTGAGTCTATGTGCATACATCGCCTATGTTACATATATATATACTATATGGGTACTACAGTAGACTATTTTATTGCTTCACACCCGAAACAAGGTGATTTTGGAGTGGCTCGCTTCCAAGCCGTCATTCATATCAGCATCATTCATGGTGAGGTCGCTGTGAGGGCATTACAATCTGCCCCGATACAGAAATTATATGAAATTATATCATTCTCAGTCTGGTGACCTATGGGTGCAGTTCCAGCTATATGTAAGTGCTTATATCACCATGGTTGTGGGGGGTATATCCCAACTGGGGCTGGCATCACCATGCTTCCCATCAAGAACCCCAACCAATGAACATGATGAGTTAGCCGTTCACTAACTGAGGTGATTTCCCTCAATAAGTCGATTTATGTTCACTCCATTTCACTCATCTAACATGAATCTACCTCATGTTATATCAGTGTTATATCATACTAGTTATATCTACCTTTTCCACCTTTAAAGGTTCACCTTTTTGGGACAGAAAACCGCCACCGTCGATTCAAACAACCTCCGCAGAAATCTCGAGCTCGGCCGGCCTTCCGCTGAGATTCGAAGCGCAGCGCTTGGCATCTTTGGGCATGGACCTGGGCTCTTTGGGCTCTGGGCAAGGGATTTAACATGTTTTAACCATATTCATGGGATTATTCATGGGACTTGATGATAGTTACCCTCTGGTAATGACTGTTACAGTTTGCGAACTTGAACATGGCCCAGTGAAATAGTTGATTTACCTATGAAAAATGGGTGATTTTCCGTAATTAGTTATGTTCATTTACCAGAGGGTAGTGCTTATTTAACCAAGCAACATGGGGCCCCCAGTCGACAGCGTTCAGTTGCCTGTAAAAAGTGGTTGAATTCTATGGCTTATGGTAGATATAACTATAGTTAATGGGGGTTATAATGATTTATAAACCAACTTATAACTGGGGGGGGCCATCCTGAAGTAACATGATGATGCAACATGATGATAAGAAAATGGGATGAAAACACCCAACATAAATATGGAATGAATGAATGTTCACAATATTTGAGCAAGGACATCCACAACTTTGGAAAAGTCCCATCGCTTGCCTCGGGCTTCTACAATTCCCAGAAACCGATATCCATCCCTTACATGTTTAGTATCAATTATGAACCACCAACGGGATAAGAAACTAACAATTATAGCGATTAATCATCAGAATTATGGATATTATATAAATATGTACTATATTCACCAATTACTATTATGCATTATTAACCATTGAAAATTTAGCCAACAGAAATATGGATTAGTTTTTTAGGAATCCGAATCCGAAGGTGACGTCAGCGTCAGCTAAATGTCTAAGTGACTCGTGTGGCTTGAGGCAGAAGAATAACTTCTTGTCATTCACCTGTGGCATCGCAACTAACCAGGTTTTTCCTATAGGTTTATAGGGAATATATTGGAATATATCGAACTGATTAATTAGATGGGTTTATAAACCAACAAACATAACTCTGGGAATTTGCCTCATATTTGTGTATAATGTGTATATATATATATTTATGTGTATGCACACATTTGTCTATATATATATGTTATACAAGTAGGCATACAACCTACTTGGAAACCCGTTCCAAATATGTTTCTTGAAAAAAGGAAAATACCATGTATCCAACTGTGCTGGACTCGATGTGATGTAACCGCACGGCTGCTGAGTGGGTCAAAAATGTCAGCTACTGTCATGGCTAATCTCAAACACCTCAAATATTCTGCAAAACATGATTTCCAGGAGAGTAGTGTATGTATGTACGTACGTACGTACGTATGTATGTATGTGTATGTATGTGTATGTATGTGTATGTATGTGTATGTATGTGTATGTATGTGTATGTATGTGTATGTATGTGTATGTATATGTGTATGTGTATGTGTGTATGTATGTGTGTATGTATGTATGTATGTATGTATGTATATATGTAAATGTGATAATATGTACATAATGTATTGTTTATACAATACCATCCATTGCAAGAGATTCAAGTGTTAAAGTATCCAACCAAGGTTTACACATCATGACCATAATATGTGGCCTTGACTTCCAGTACAGCCACACACACATATATATATATAAGATCAATGTATATATATATATATATATTATATATTAGATCAGTATATATATATATATAGTGTGTTATATACCATGTAATGTTGTCTTTTCTAAGTTGAATAAATGGTGGTCAGTTGCGTAAACGCATCCTGTGACTGGGAAGGCGTATCTCCAATCTCCCAAGGCTTTCCATCATAGATGGCAAATGGCAAAGATCCGTCACTTCCGAACTTTGATGAAAAAGATCTGAAAAAATATCGACTGTGCCTACAATGTGGGGCCCCCAAGATAGCTAAGTTGGTTTATAAACCCCATAACTATAGGTATTTGCGTACCATAAACCATAGTTATTGGAGTTATAAACCAACTGAACGCTATCTTGGGGGCCCCACATTGTAATCAGTTCGCTTGGTTTCCTAACATTAAACAAGAAACATCTGCTATTGCACATGCCATTGAAATATATTGAAGTGACATCAAACACACGCATCGACCCCCACCTGCAAAGTGCAAGGCTTCAAATGATTTTCTTCGATTTTGTAGTAGGCCTCTGGAACCTCTTCAGCATCCTGGTCAGAATGGCCCAGAAATCGAATTGCTCACCAAAAAGGAAACCAAGGGTTGGATACTATTGGATACCCCTTTTAGTTTTGGAGACAATTGATCTGACTGTTTCCGCGAAGGCACATCGTAATGCGTTTTAATCTTGTACCTCTGGTAGCTTTACGTGCCAACGGAAATTGTCCCTCTTTGTAGATGATTCTTCAATCTAAACGCCAATTCAGTTCAGGGATTCTCCAGCTAGCCATGCTTGGCTCCCCGAGGGCAATCATTTTAATCCACCAGAATTCTACCAAGACTGGCCGACAAACAAAACAGATCTGGGCCGTGTTTCACATGAAGGGCGTGGCTGTATCGCTACAAAAGACTGGCAAAATTGGGCTTTGAGTCAAACATGTGAGGTACTAATGGGTCCTGAAAATAGAACGCAAATTTTGTAGGAATTACCCACTGTTAAACTAACATCCACTATAAATCACCATTTTCAATAGCTATGTTTGTTTACCAGAGGGTAAAACATCCATTGAATCCATGGCCAAGGTCTAAGATCAACCATTTTTGCCTATGGCCAATAGCCAAGTCATCCCAATTCATGATCCTCACGCATGACTGAAAGGTGCGTTCCACTCAGGGTTTGGGTCCAACTTTCTCCAGCTCCCGCGAGGAGCGAAATTGGCCGATCAATTTGAGTATCAAACTAATGTGGTAAAACCCACTTAAAAATCATCTAATGCCCGTGTATATTGACAATGACAAACCTCAAACGTATATTATATATACTATCTCTCTCTCTCTCTATCTATATATATATACATACATACATGTGTGTGGGTTCTGATACCTCCTGATATTGCATGATGGGTTTCAACGGCATCACTGCACTTTTGCTCCTGATCTTTGATCACTTCCCACCTCAGTTGACTAGGCGATGCCGCTTTTCCCCGATGGCTTAGTTCAGAATCTGGAATCACCCAGCAGAACTCAGATTCCATAAGCATTCAACATAAGATATAAGGTTATAACATGTTATAACATGTTACAAGCGGCAGGGTGAAGTCATAGCATAATATGAAGGTTACCCTCTGGTTATTTAACATAGCCATGGAAAATTACAATTTTTAATGGGAAAATCCACTATAAATGGCCATTTTCAATAGCTACGTTAAATTACCAGAGGTTATAACTTCTTCATATTTCTTCATGGTTCAGTTCCTCACCGGACGCCATGACGAGGCGCTCGTCACCGGACGCCATGGCGCGCGATCGGAGCGATTTTTTGGAACGGCAGAAACTCTGAACCACAGCCGCAAGAAGTTCGGGTGTGCACATGGGATGGGAGTCCTCCAATGTTACCCCATGGCCCATGAACATCCATGAACTATCATTTAAACATGTTATAACTGTGATAACTACCATGAACCGTAGTTATTGGAGCTAGTTACACCAACTTAGCTATGGTGTGGGGGTACCACATTGACCTGAGTTTTCAGGGGGGTCAGATTGCGATGGTCGACATTTCCCTTGGATTCTTAACATTTCGCCCAGCATGGCCCAGCACACGGTGGTGTTCCATAACTAGCTAAGTTCGTTCACAACTCCAATAATTAACTAGGGTTTAGGGTAAAATTATCTAGTAACTGTGGGTATACGGTATAAACCAATAAATGACTGTGGAGCACCACTTTTTCCCCCAACCATGGCCGCATCATTTGCGTCATGTACAGCTCCTGCGCGAAAACACACGCTTGACGAAGCGTGTGAAGTGGGCCCGCGGTCGATACCGTGCAAAGAGTGCACAGCCTTCGAGAATCTTCGAGATTCCAAGTGGAGGTGGTTAAACCCACCACAACAATCTGGATGACTGGTTGGTGGTTGAGCCAACCCCCAAATATAATATCTGGTTGGTGGTTTTAACCATGTTGAAAAATACTAGTCAATAGGAAGGATTATCCCATATATTATGGAAAAAAATGTTCCAAACCACCAACCAGATATTCATATTCGGCGGTTAGGATTATCACACCAACTAGGGTTGCACATAAAAGACGTCGACAGTAGCAACTGGGTGTCGTGCAAACAGTGCAGTGCCCCATGCTTGTACTTAGCTACGTTGGTTTGTAACTACAATAAGCAAGGTTTATGTTGGTTTATTAGTTTATTGGGAATATTATTTATACGCCAACATACCGAAGTGGGCACCTTGCAAAGTTCTTGATCTAAATTTCATGGAGAAAGTTACGCAAAGTTACGCAAAAGCAACATGTTGGCTCTTCGGCCTAAAGTTCTTCCTAAAGTTGACTAAAGTGACTAGTCAGTATACTAAAGTTATCATGCATTTTAGACCCGGATTTGCTGAGGGTCAACTTCATGAACAACTTCCAATCTAGCGGCGCCTAGTCCCAGCAGTGCGCTTTCGGATTCAATACGCCGTATGCTGTGGAGACGGCGGCGCGGTCCCAAGCCTGCAGAGCGGCGACGTATCCAAACGGCCGTAGATATATTGGGGTGGTGGTTAAGTCGACTGAAAAACCAAGATGCCAAGATGAGATGTGTGGATAAGAATACTTAAGATCTTACTTATAAGTTACCCTCTGGTAAACTAACATAACTATGGGAAATCAATGGAAGTCACCATTTTTAATGGGAAAAATCACTATAAATGGCCATTTTCAATAGCTATGTTAGTTTACCAGAGGGTATGTTATGTTTCAAAAAATGGGTGATAGCAATGTCGTAACTCTGTCGTAACATGGGACTCCCCATGTACCCCTCCGACCTGGCCGAATCTGAGAGCTGACCTGGGGTGCGAAACTGCGAAGAGAAACTGCAGATCTTAAGGACGTGCAAAAACCGGTAAGTGGATATTGGTTATAGGGATTATCATATATTCATAAGGGGTCGTAGACTACTATAGTAGATATATATAGTAGATATATAGATATAAAAGCATAATTTATAGGGGTTATATCATATCACTTATTGGTTATAGCCATAAAAGTAACCTCAACTGCACCCCCAAGTAAGGAAAGAATATGCAACAATCATCCTGCAAGACTATACGTACTGTACTCAGCTGAATTTTGCGATGTCTTCAAAATCAGTTTGAACATGTATGAACATTTGAAGTGCAGATTGGCATGAAATCCACGAAACTTTTTTGACACCAACCAGATCTCGTTTCAAACCTCATGCTACGCATGTTTAACTTAAGTTGTCTGTGCAGCCTTATGATCTCATCTCTCTAGTATATACTATTCAATCCACCCTTAACTTGCCTCCAAATTGAACAAATCCAACACGGAAGGAGGTGATTTTAAAAGGTGGCCGTTAATATGACGGGGAAAGGATGGGAAGGGATTGTTCATGAGTTCAATCCCCGTTTATCTTGGCAAAACCACCATATTTTTGCAGTAAAACATCTCGTTTCCTGATGCAAAATCCACCATATCTGTCTCCACCAAATTGGAGCTCCCCCTGGTAGCCACCGGATTCGTGGCTGCACGTCCATGAGCAACCATTCACCAACCAGTCCCTACTTCGGAAATCCACAGTACAGCTAAGTATCAATATATGATTGCTAAATATTGCTAAGAATTAAGCTGTCAATATCTATCAAACAACCACTTTCACAACCATTGGACAATAGTTGTCAATATTTTCACTATGGGCCATTTATCTATTTCTCATCAAAAATGCTTGGCGAATGGTTGGTGAATTGGACAATTTGGACAACCGTTTCACCAACCATTCGCCAACCATTCACCGACTATATATATATATATCAGGATGGTGCCCCCCAGTTATAAGTTGGTTTATAAACCCCATTAACTATAGTTATATCTGCCATAAACCATAGTTATGGGAGTTATAAACCAACTTAGCTAACTATGGGGCACCACCTTGTATATATATATATTCACCGACTGACTATTAATGTGGTAAACCTAATAATAAACCATCCCATTAACCATTTGTACCACAAAATAAGGGGCTCATTTTACATCATCCCGAATCGAGGTGTCACAAAGCTTTACCATACAAAAATCCCAGACCTATCCTATAATTATCTTATAATTATCATACAATGTGGGGCCCCCCAGTTATAAGTTGGTTTATAAACCCCCATAACTATAGTTATAAGTACCATAAACATCCATAAACCATAATTATTGGAGTTATAAACCAACTTAGCTATTTTGGGGGCCCCACATTGTACTATATCATACTTATCCCATAAAAAATCCCCATCACCCATTCTTCTCCAAGACATTTCCCATGATTTCCCAGAAAAATTTCCCATTTTTGTTGCGGTGCGCATCCCACCTCCCCCAGCGATCTGAACAACTGCCAAAGCCACCGGCGCCAAAGCCACCAGGGGTCGCAAGCGTGGAGACAACATGGCGCGGCGCTGGCGAAGAATCACTGTTTAATGTGTTTTTTAAATGTTGTATATGTTTTACATATTTTTCTTTTTTATGTTTATAATATATATATATATATATTATATATTACCCTCTGGTTATTTAACAGTTTGCCATGGAAGCCATGGTCCATAGAAATAGATGGTTTACCGTTCTTAAAAATGGTGATTTTCCATGGCTATGTTAAATAACCAGAGGGTATATATATATATAATAGTCCCCAAGCAAATAGAAACCTGACTTTTCACTAGTTTTGTTTTGTATACGGGATGTTGGTTTTCTACATTACACGTTAGTGGGGTCAACCACACTTTACTACAAATCCACAACCACATCCTGTATTCTAGTGGGATACGCTTTTCTATATTTCGTTGGTTTTCTATACGGGATGTCAGAAACCATGTGGAGGCGTGTGGCAGCGACAATATCAGTTGGCAAACAAAATAAAACCAGCAACCAACGCGTTGCTTTGAAATGGTTTGAACATGTTTGCATTAACTATCGATTAACTATCCGCTATTGTTATGCAGTTATCTTACCCACCATATACCCAATTAAACGCTTTGTTATTGTTTAATTTCCCCACGTTTCGCTTTTTCACATTGGCATTGGCCAGCAACTGTACCGACTCGTGTGACCAGTGCCGATTCGAATCAGGACACTATCCATGGATGAAAGCGGCTAGGAGTCTAATTCATGATAATATAATTGCCCTCTGGTCATTTACTTAATACGAGTATTAATGCTATAGAAAATCACCAAGTCTAATAAGTCAATCATCGTAAATCATCCATATATTGGTCATTGTCAACCATTTTCCATAGAACACTGTTAAGTATATAACCAGAGGGCAATAGGCAAGACTCCCCTGAGACATGTGAAAATTCCCTGGGAAAATCTTCCCTTCTCCATGATTCCACAGCTGAAAAACCAAGCAAAACGCCGCGGTCACAGGTTCTCCCCTGCAAAAGGACAACTTGGCTATGAGCAAGATAAACAAGGTAAATACCTTGCAAAAACGTCACGCTCTGATCATTTAACACAGCTCTTTTTCACCACTGATGATTTAACCATTGATTTTCCCATAGTTATGGCACAAATTCCTAAATCTCTTGGATCGATTTTCGTGGTTCTCTGATCCCCACCAACTTGCGGCAAACGTAAAAAAACTTCGGATCTTCGTAGTTGGAACATCGACTGGTTGGTGGTTGAGCCACCTACCCCTCTGATGGACTTCGTCAGTTGGGATGATGAACTTCCCACATGGAAAGTCATAAAATTCATTAAAATTCCATGGTTTCAAACAACCAGAGAATTAAATGAGTCAAAGCCGAAGATTTCACCAACTAAGTTCATCCTTGACATCAGCCGCGACTTGACGGCTCATTGAAAGATTCGGTCACGGAAAAGGATGTTTTGCAATGCCCATCCACAGGCAACTGTCGAAAAGATCTTCCAGTTTTCTTGTCACCAAAAATTTCCGGAGAAAAATCCTGAAACAACCGCAGCACTTTGGTTTTCTCCGGCAAACAACTCCATCCCCACGTCCGGAATCGCTGACCTGCTTGAAGGAAGGGCCGCAAATGAAGATGTTCGGCGGCATGAAGTCCAGGACAGACCTGCATGTCCTGAAGGACGCCCCAGGGGCTGAAGATACCCCAGGATTTACGAGTACTCATCCCAACAATATTAGCTGAATAATGTGTTTTATGAAGTTGAATAGGGCGATAAGGTTGATAAGTTGCATAAGGCCTTTAATAATAATTACAGTATATAGTATAAGTTGGTAATCAGGATGGAGAAGGTCTGGTTACCCTCTGGTTTCGACTAACAGTTTGCCATGGAAAATACTCCATTTATAGATGGTTTACCTATTAAACATGGTGATTTATAACTATTTACCATAGCCATTGAAAATCACCATGTTTAAGAACGGTAAACCATCTATATATTTCTATGGGCCATGGCTTCCATAGCTATGTTTGTTTACCAGAGGGTAAATCGCCATTAAACACCAGAAATGGGCCATTTCCCATGGCTATGTCAGCCACAACCAGAGGGTAATCCCCCGGTGGTCCGATGAATCACCCCGCTGGTCGCTGGCAAGCCACGAAGAAAACATCACAGAAATCCAACCACCAGCCAAACACCACAGACTGAATATCAGGGAATATCATATATATATATATATCATATATCATATATATATGTATCAATCCACCTTATGAATGAATCTTACTTGGGATCCATTGGGAACCCCCTATTCCCATCTATTCCCCATGGATTTCGAAGTCGCCACCGTCCTCGGGCAGGTTCCAAATCGCACTGCCGCGGTGCTGTGCGAAGAGGGCGGGAGACCAAAAGAGGCGACCAAACACGGTAGCGCGTTGTGGGATCAGCGTGGTTCCTGGCGCGTTGGACGTATCGATATGGCGATGTGGCTGATGTTTTTTTGGATGTGACAATCTGAAGAGTCATTTTCTGGCCAAGAAAAATAAGTATATATATAATATATATATATATTAATGATATATAAGAAAAAGGTGTAGCTGACTGATGATTGGATGATCATGGATGATTTCTCTGGAGCTGGATGTTGCTTCTACTTACAGATACTTACAGTAAGTATGTGGAGCGTCGGACACCCTTTCCGGAAGCTATACATATGCACTATTTGGTCTATCATCCCCAGAATGGGAATCCTCAAAATCCCTATGAAAATGCATTGATTATTCCCATGCCCGAAACAAAACGTTAATCAAATCTGGGTGGTGGTTTCAACCCTCCCGAAGAATATTAGTCAGATTGGATCATCATGCCAACTATTGGGGAAAATAAAAAATGTTCCAAACCACCAATCAGAAATTCAATCAATGGCCATTTCAGGGACCTAAATTGGAGGTACCTACCATATAAAGGGCCTAAATTTCATGGAATATCCCAGCAAAATATGGCCAGAAATATGGTACAGTACCTCCATTTTAGCATCCTGAAGATCTCCCATTGATTCAACTAACTTGACCATGGCACATGGATATCAACATATTCTCCATCCGTAATGCCTGACAAATGGAATTCTCTGAAAATAGGGCACCCTTCTCATTTTCATGGGTTCTCATTGTTTTCCCCGCCTAAAATGCCATTTGCGAAATAAACCACATGTCCAAATGCTCTGCTTGAAATGTCATTTTCGTTTCTCATATTTTTTCCCCATAAAACCTCCATTTACATGATATCTGTTCCCATATCCCATGAAACATGCCACATATCCCATGAACTCACCAATGGTCTATCTATCCACACCTGGGCCGAAGTAGGGCGAAGCCCAGGCGTGGCGCAGAGAATCCAAGACGCCCTCACCGATGAGAACCTGTTAAGGCATTGAGGTGGTGAAGGGTTAACCAATGGAACTTAACATGGGTCATTAAATGTCCCCATTGAACATCACCCAACCATTAGGTATATGGTCTATAATGGCTACTATAAGGTGATGTCCAATATTCCCAAAATGGGACAGTTACCAACCCCTGCTTAAAGATCCCTCTTATATACTGTGTATATATACTGCTTGGTGGTTTTAACCATCTTGAAAAATATGAAAGTCAGTTGGGAGTATTATTCCCAATATATGGAAAAAATGTTCCAAACCACCAACCAGTATACATATAATTATATATATATATGTGTATAGGCTTAGTAAGGCTTCAATCCTAGAAATCGTGTAAGTTAAGTTTGATTTTGGTGGTCAATTTGCAGCAGTTCATCCAGAAAGACTCTGAACATGCTAGCAATAAACCAATAAATCACTTATCCATGGTGAATCTTAGATCCCTCCAAAAAAAAAAAAAATAGCTGGTTAGTGCATTTTACCATTGATAGCACACAAAATAATGTACTGAAGTATCTAACCAAGGTTGACCCAGTATCAATGATATCTTTCCCCAGCCATGACCACTAAACATCACGAGTTTTCATTGCCGGATTAGATGATATAATATTATATACCTGATCATGATTTTCCATTGACACATTAGATTACCCGATTTATCTATAAAACATCGTGATTTTGAATTGTCAGCTCAGACTGAGAGTACCGCTCTCAGATTGACGAGTCCATCGTCTAGCCTCTGGTAATTTAACATAGCTACTGAACATGACCATTTATGGTTGATTTACATAGCTATTGAACATATTCATTTAGTTCGATGATTTACATATTACACATGGTGATTTTTCCCAGCCATGTTAGTTTGCCAGAGGGTAGCTGAAGCTGATATCAGAAGAACATGGGAAAATGACAATTCCAGTTCCAGCCTGCAGATTTCTCCAAACATCTCGGATGTCTTGACGCAGAAAGAGGTCAATTTCCCCTGGTGACCTATGGTGGCCTGGTTTTCACGCAGAAATAGCTACAGCTTAGTAAATGGGGGTTCATCCCCAAAACTAATTTGTAATAGGTGTTGATCCATCTCCATATACATCAATTCCAGGAGGAACTGAGCAACTTGGTGTCATTTGATACGTCTCTGCAAATCTTGAATACCCCTTCTAAATGTGGTGTGTTGATATGTCCCTGTAGCGCCTTCCTCCATTTGTGGCTGAGAAATAATCATCAAACAGGCACGGGCCATGCTTTCAACAAATACTCAAGTTTGATCAATGTTTTTGAAGCTTTTGTCGACATCTTGAATTGCCCCATCTTCAGCTTATTCTATCTTGTAGGTAACATCCACATGTTTGCTAGTCGGAGCCCAAATGTTTGGTGCCAGCAATGTCGAGTCGAATGTCGCATTTCTCTATATATATATATATATTATCACAATATTAAAAGCATTCGCAGGATACCAACATCTTGTTCCATCTAGACTTAGAATCTAAACATATATCTATAAGTATATATCTGGAATAAATGCAACCATGGGATAGTAGTCTAATTACAATACTTTTACCGCCCCTTGGACGTCACGACTCATCCACGACTGTCTCCACGGTCTCG